CTGAGTTAGTTAGGCCCTGGGCACTTGAATGTGAGGCCGACAATGCATGCTGGGTATAGAGGCCGAAAATGCCAAAGGGAAATCGGCCCACTATCTGAATCTGGCCGCAGGCCTTGACGAAAGAGGCGCAACTGCATCCCCCGGGCCTCAACTACATCGGGCCTGGGTTCAGGCACTAGGGCCCAGACGCAGGCTGAAGGGAGGCCGCCCACATGCAACATTGGCATATAGGTAAGCAGGGCGAGTGGGCAGGGATCTTGGCCATTGCGGGCAATGCCGGCACGCTGCGCTAATGCGAGCTGTTGCTCTACGCTAGGCTGAGGTGCGAGACAGGCAGGCGCTAGGCGGTAGGGGGTTGCCTGTACACAGGGCGCTGGCGGCCATAGCCGGGCTGCCTGAGGGCGCAGGAGAGGTGAGGGCGAAGGTGGTTCTTCGACGGTGAAGGGTGCTGTGTGGGATAACAAGGGAGAGTGTGGGTGAAGAGAGAGACGTACCTGGTGGAGGTGGGAGGTCGGCATTGGTGTTGACATCATCACTCGCTGTTCGTCAAGTTGTCTGGTTGCTTTCATATAGTTGTAGTGATAGGCTGTAGAGTAGGTAGGGCGCCTGGCGCCATTCAAGAGAGAGAGCTACATTGGGTTATGCTGTTGGTGTTGCCTTGTTGGGCTTGGACATTGACTCACGATTCTTCTGTATCGTTTCTCAAATGGATGGTTACCCGGTTCCATTGTGCTATCTGCTCTTGCTTTGACTACTTGGACTTCAATGTGATTTTGCAATCTAGATTTCTGTGCTTCGTCCATATTCATGTTCCTTGCACCCCTTTGTTTTTTTTTTTTTGTTTTTTTCTTTTTTCTTTTTTCTTTTTTCTTTTTTCCTTGTTTCTTTTTCGTTTTTTTCACGACGTTTCACGCACGTTGCCACGATAATGCATCACTCCCCGCCGGATCAATTTTTTTCGTAGGTTCCTTTTCAAATCGCTTAAGCTAGGCGGCTGGCGCCAATTTACGGACTGGGGAACTGCCGAGCTCCGGTATTGACGAACATCCAGGCGGTATTTTAGGACAGGAGCTACGACCTTTCTCCCATCGTGAGTTTTACCTATGAGCCCTGATTGGCCTAAGGGGAGACAGACGCCCGAGCTAGTCGGCTCACGGGAATCCAGTGTGAGAGTGCTCGGTTGGAGTGGCTGCATCGACGTGTCATTGCGACGGAGTTAACGCATCGGAGGCCATGGATTACGCGGTCGATCCAGCTATGGTGGACCAACTAATCGGCAACGCGGAAGATGCGGTATAAGACCTTGGCCTTGCATTCCTGTGCCACCCTCCGTCCATCACGGATCATGCTCGCCTTCTCTTCCTACTTCTTTTCCTGCTAGCCTGCTGCACATGCTCTACTCTGCTTCGCACTAAGATATGATTGCCTGTCTCTTCATCCCGTGGAATGCACTTCGCTGGGTTCTCTGCAAAGCACTTGCGCTTGGCAGTATGGCACTAGAGAAGGAGGAAGTAGCGGACAGGGTTGGGGTTGCCATTGAAATCTTTGTCTACGTACTTCTTGCTTTTATAGCGCTCCTCGCATTTCTTGCCTTTCTTGCCTTCCTGCACCATCTCCAAACTATCCTTCCCGCTCCCCCGCTGCTTCTTCCCAAGCGTCTATGAGAAAAGCAGGTGTTCTCCCTCTGATGAAGCCGTGCGATGGTGGCTAATGGCAGAAAAGCGCTTAAGGGATCGCCACTACCCTCCCTGCTTGGGCTATCGAGGCTAGAGCCCCACATTACGAGAAGCTGCCTCTGGGAATGCAGCCTAGTTCTTCGTCCAGTATTCAATATCTTATGTTCTGCTACGCTCTGCATGTATCGTGGGTGCGACTCAACGACTCTTCAGTTCGATTGGCATATTAAGGAAGTTTTTTTTGTTCATGATTTCGAATCTCGATCGTTTTGTTGATTACGAGTCCTTTTCTTGTTTCTTGTGTGCTGTGAGCATTTGGTTTGGTTCTCTTTCCCTGCATACGTAATGAAATTTTCTTAAATCTAGGCCAATCTTTTTCTATTTTTCTTGTCCTTCTTTCTTTTTTTCGTTATTTCGTTTTTTCCTTTTTTTTCTCTTGTCTGTTTTCCTTTATTATGTATATTGATTACTCGGTTTGATTCTCCTCCCTTTGGGCACGTGATCGGGGGTAGCGAATTTGCTCCTACGGACCAGATGTTCTTGTTGTCTCTGCAAAAATATGCATGCCCTTGTACTCATCAACCCTTGTCTTCCTTAAGAGAATTGCAGTTCCCGCTTTCTTTTCCACACCACCTTCTATGTTTCATAACTTCTCTCCCTTCCCCCCCATTATAGATCCTCTCCCACGAATCATCTAAATCGCATACTCTACCTCACTTTCAGCTCACTCAGTTTGGGACAATGGCGGTTTTCTCCCCCGGGCATTGCGCTTATATGGTTCTCCCGCATATACAATGCTTACATCGATTCCGCGACAATCGGGGTGTGTCTCACTCAACCTATTAGTAAGACATATTGCGACAAGTTGCGGACCAAGGACGTGCGCCGATCTTGTTAGCAGAAGCACATCCACCGATTCTTTTTCGGTAATATGCTGCTGCGGACAACGCTCGTACGCATCGCAATACCTGCTAATTAACCGATAGGATTGTATGTGCATACTCAGGGAAAAGCATGACTATAGGTATAGCTCCGATCTAAAATAAACCTCCTATGATCTGTCTATTGTATATGCATCAGCTGGAAGAATTACGGTCGCACTTCTTCTCATCTATTTTTTTATCTATGGGACTCATGAACCGAGAAGCTTCTATGCCTACTTGTGTGCCATGGTCCGAAGGAAATCTCCCGTGTGTATCCCGATGGTGCCTCAGAAGAGGGAGTCATGGCACGAAAAAAAGTCCTATGTCCGCCTGATAAGCTAATGGGGTTGCGCCGATGCAATGTTTCGGAGCTTGATCTCGGTACGGTTTCCGTATCGTTTCTCCACTTGTTGTTTTCACATTTGGTGTACTTAAAACACACACACACACACATACACACACACACACACACAGTCGCGTACCAAAACGGTACCGACCAAAACAAGAACCGAACTCTCTCACATAGCACAACATAGTGCAACGGAAGGCTAAAATAGCAATGATCAACCCAATCAATGTCGCAATGCAGACCCAACATACAACATCATCATTGCAAGGTGTGAAGGGCCTGGCACTACACACAGGAAGAATGCGCCAGGTCCAGACCATACACATACGAAGAGGAGGGGATCAAACGAAGAAGCTGGGGGAGATGGGAATGTCGTCAACACCAAGTCTTGGGCACATGTCCCATATAGTCCCTCGTGAAATGTCTCAATCCCAATGTCGAGTCTGGATCCAAATGTCCTCAAGTCCCAAAGTCACCAATCTCTCTCTCTCTCATAGTCTGCAGATACTAAGAAGTCAGGTAGCGAGAGGGTAAGGGAGAAATGGTGGACTTAGAAGAGGAAGAAGAAGAACTCTCTCTCTCTCTCTCTCTGTGTGTGTGTGTGTGTGTGTGTGTGTGTGTGTGTGTGTGTGTGTGTGTGTGTGTGTGTGTGTGTGTGTGTGTGTGTGGTACTAACCTATGAAGGTGGCGCTTTGTTGCAAGTACATCGAAGACGAAGCTGGAGCTATGGCGCCACAGGTAAGTCTCCCTGGCCTCCGCCCTCTCTCTCTCTCTCTTCAACGCTACTCTAGCTCCTAATAGCGCCCAACGTTGAAGACTACTCCTAACGCTACTACTACTACTGCAGCGCTCCTCCAGAGTGTTGCTGCCGAAATCCTAAAGACTGCCTCCTGCCTCCTACACGTTGTCGGGACTGGTGAGTCCCGAATAACTTCCCATCACTCAAGAGATGGAATATAGACGAATTGTGCACAACAGAGAAATCTGGAGTGAGGAGGCAGGAGAGAGAAAAGACAAAGGATTAGGCCACATGAGGGAATGATGCCCTGGGGTGAGAACCACAGGAGGAGAAAAGCAGCAACGGCGTGAGAATAAGCGCAGGAATAGGGGCATATAGGACGTAGCATGAGGCCGGGAGGTCCTCGCGGACAACCGCACTATGCGAGTTGAGGAATACGTAGAGGGAGTCCAGGCGTATTTCCGCCTAGAGAAAGATGGGAAAGTGAAGAAAGGGAGAAAGTTCTCCATTCCCTCACTCTCCTCGTACAAGATGACCTTCCTTTCAATATAGTCCTAGGTATGGACTGGGGAGAGGCAGCAGGGGCCACACTCCACCTGAGAGAGCATGAGTGTAGGCTCCCTAGTCTGACCGGCGAGGTTAAGACTGCCCGTTTGTTCCATGCGTCAGGAGTAGATAACACCCTGGCACATTGCTGTCTCAGTGCTTCTGCGTTCGCACGATTGGTGAAAAAGGAGAAATTAGAGGAACAGGTCTTCGTAGTTTACGTCAGGCCTATTACTGAGCCTAAGGAAGAGAAGTCCATTGACCCAGCTATTGCCAAGCTGCTGGAAGAGTTCAAGGATTTAGTTGAGCCGCCGACAGGAGTAGTACTGCGGCCGATCCAACATCGTATAGAAATAGAGCCTGGCAGTACGACTCCCAAAGGAGCGGTGTATAGAATGTCCCCACGGGAGTTGGATGAGCTACGCAAGCAGTTAGACGAGCTCCTAGAGAAGGGTTGGATTAGGCCCAGTTCATCTCCTTATGGAGCACCAGTTTTGATTGTCCCCAAAAAGGAGGGAAAGCTTAGAATGTGTATTGACTATAGGGGTCTCAATGCTATCACTGTAAAGAATGCAGAGCCGCTGCCCCGTATAGATGATCTTTTAGACCGGGTGCAGGGATGCAAGTATTTTTCAAAGATAGATTTGAAGTCCGGATATCATCAGATAGAGGTCCATCTTGATGATCAGCATAAGACCGCATTCCGGACTAGGTATGGGCACTACGAGTTTATATTCATGCCCTTTGGACTAACCAACGCGCCAGCGACCTTTCAGCATTGTATGAAYGACCTGTTTAGGYCGTGGTTAGATAGATTTGTAGTAGTGTACTTAGATGATATTTTAGTATTCAGCAAGACCCTCCAAGAGCACCARGGTCATCTAAGGAAGGTCTTGGAGAAGCTGAGAGACGCTAACTTCAAGATCAACCTGAAGAAGTGCGAATGGGCAAAGACCCAAGTTTTGTACTTAGGCCACGTCTTAGACGGCGACGACATTAAGCCAGAGGATAGCAAAATCGCAGCGATTAGAGATTGGCCTACGCCCCACACGCTGACAGAGTTGCGATCGTTCTTAGGCCTAGCGAACTACTACAGGAAGTTTGTGAGAAATTCTCTACCATCGCTGCACCCCTTCGCAGATTGTTAAAGAAAGAAACAATCTGGAAGTGGGATAAGGAYTGCACGTCTGGCATGAAGAAGTTGAAGCAGGCGTTGATAGAGTATCCAGTCCTTAAGGTCGCTGATCCGTCCTTACCTTTCGTTGTTACCACTGACGCGAGTCAGTATGGCATAGGTGTTGTACTACAGCAAGACGATGGCAACGGATATAGACCCGTAGAGTTCATGTCTGCTAGAATGCCTTCAGAGAAGGTAGCGACATCCACCTATGAGAGGGAACTCTACGCTCTCAAGCAAGCACTAGAACACTGGAAGCACTACTTGCTTGGAAGGCACTTCAAAGTCTATTCAGACCATGAGACGTTAAGGTGGCTGAAGACGCAGGCCAAGATGACACCTAAGTTGACTAGGTGGGCCGCCGAGATAGACCAATATGACTTTGAGCTCAAGCCAGTTAAGGGCAAGTACAATGTAGTTGCGGATGCTCTAAGTAGGAGGTCGGACTACTTTGGGGCGATAGTCCATTATCTGGATATAGGGAAGGACCTGCAACAGAAAGTCAGAGAGGCATATGATCAGGATCCTATCTACATCGACCTTCTTAAGAGAGTAAAGGAGTCCCCAGAGACTGAACCGCATTACCGCACTACAGAGGGTTTGTTATTTGAGAAGGCTGATGTAGTAGATGGCTTGTGCGTCCCCAACAGTGAAGAGATTCGTAGCCTGATCTTAGGGGAATGTAACGATACAGAGGGATACTTCGGTTGGCAAAAGACTCTAGCCAATCTGATGTGCGCGTATACTTGGCCAGGGATGAAGGTCGACATCATAGAGTACGTCCGCAGTTGTAAGGTCTGCCAAAGGAATAAGACTAGTACGCGTGCCCCTCTAGGTCTTCTCAGACCCCTACCTATTCCTGACCAGCTCGGAGATTCAGTGTCCATTGATTTCATGGACACCGGCGTCAATAGTAGGCATAGTAAGAGCCAAGTCATGGTCATAGTAGATAGATTTAACAAGTATGCAGTTTTTGTTCCGTTGCCTGCGGAGGCACGTACAGAGTTAGTAGTTTAAAAGTTCTTTGATCATTGGGTCAGTGAACACAAGATTCCGTTGTCTATAGTTAGCGATAGAGACACCCGGTTCACTAGTCAGAACTGGCAAGAGTTGATGAGAGTATATGGCTCCAAGCTGCTGATGTCATCTCGCCGKCATCCAGAGACTAACGGTCAGACTGAGCAAATGAATAAGCTCCTACAGCAAGTTCTGAGAATGTACATTAGACCTAATCAGACTAACTGGGATGMGATGCTCCCAAAGGTAGCCAGTGCCTACAATAACAGCGTGCACCTGTCCACGTGTCGCACTCCCAACGAGTTACATAAGTCCTTTAGACCCCGCAGACCGTTTGAAGGACTTAACCGGGATCAGATTCATAGGCTACCGCCCGGTTCTAGGGAGTTTGCGTTACAGCACGAAAAGGAATTAGCTACCGTTGTAGAGAACCTCAGGAAGGCCCAGCATAGGATGATAGAGCAAGCCAATAAGTATCGTCGCCCATCACAGTTTCAAGTAGGCGACTTAGTCTGGGTCAAATCTAAGGAGTTTGCTCCTGAGGAGAATATCTCGCAAAAGCTATTGCCCTCGTATAGAGGACCGTGGCCAGTTCTAGAAGTTAAGGGCGRAGAGGATGGACCGTCCTATACAGTAGAGATTCCAGCGCACCTCCACACCTACCCCGTATTTCACGCATCAAAGTTATTGTCGTGTGTCACGAGTCAACAGTTTCCCTCCAGAAGGTCCATGATCCCTCCAGATATGGATGGAAGATATGACATTGACGACATTGTAGGTGAAGATATATTCAGGAAAAGAGGTAGAGGTCGTCCTCAGAAACAGTACAAGGATCGATTCGCAAATCGGGAATCGTAAGACGACCGCTGGTTTACCAGAACTGAACTTCTAGAAACAGCTCCCGACATAGTCAGGGCCTATGAAAGAGATCGGAAAGGTAAAGGTCCTGGCTTGGACTGAGATATTCTCGCTGGACCTCGAATTTAGGCCGGCGGGAGTGAAACGGTTTTCACCTTTGCAGAGGCAGATGCAGATCCCGGGGTTTGATCCCCAGACCTTACCTCACCCATGTGCAGTATCGAGTTGACCTCTGAGTGTTTGAGCCCGTGACCTGTGCTTTGTGAGTTGTTGTTTATCTGTCGTAGGACTGTGTGGATATAGGGATTCGATTTGTAGACTTGTCGAGTAGAGGTCTTAGAAAGTTCTAGAAGTCGTAGCTATAGATGTCCCGAAGGGTCAAAGTCGTAGCTGCTACAGTCCTGAGAGGACGAGGTCGTAGCTGCTACAGTCCCGAAAGGCCAAGTCCACAAACTTCTRGAAGGTCCGGAAGTGGCCTTTCGCTGCTTGCTCACGTTTTAGACTGAGGCAAGTGGGCAAGTGGGCAAGTGGGCAAGTGGTGGACCAACTGCAGTACGTTCACAGTACGATGGCGGTAGGTTAGCGGTGGGTCCCCAGGCAGTCAACAGTACGGTCCAGTCAGCCCCAGTCCAGTCCAGCAAGTACCATGGGGGACTGGGTGTACCATGGGCCGATGGAAAGGAGGCAGACCAACGAGTTACAAAAGTATAAATCAAGAGGCAGCGCACAACTATTGATTCATTCCTACGGAAGCCATGCGGAAGCGCTGCCACGGTGACTTGTGCGAGGTGGTCTTCAGAGGTGTTATGGCCCTAGCCAATTTCAAGATACACATCCAGTGGAAAGTACAATGTCATCCAATTGCAGAAAGAAATGAATGAACTTGAGAGGTGAGAGAGGAGTAGAAGAAGAAGAAGAAGTAAGAAAGAAGAAGAAGAAGATGTACACCACAATGACAAGGCTCTTCTTCTTCGCCCAACAATCTCCTCCTCCTTATCTCCCCCTCCTCTTATTCATACAAGAAACAATAATACAATGTTGAATGACTGGTCCAGAATCAATGTCCCAGTCCCTCTTCTACTGCAGGTATCACTCAAGGTCCACCATAGCCATGGCCGCCTCTCCCACTCTTCACTCTCATAGGCCGAGGCTATGGCGGACTACTAGGCCTGGCCCAGACGTCCAAAGGACAACCCAAAGCCGCTATGATTGCTCTAGCTCAGGCCACCATGCCCAACCCTGCCTTGAAGCTTCTTGGTGTGGCTCTCCCTAGCTGGGGACTCCTTGCTGCAGCGCCCACCAAGGTGATGAAGATGGCTGCCACCATAGCCAGGCAAGTACCCCTGGTGCTCCTTCCCCCTTCCTTCCTCATTCCTCCTTCTTCCTCCCTCATGTCCTTCTCCTTCCTCCTCAACAGCGCTGCTCCAGCTTAGCGCTCCTCCAGCCAGCGCTCCACCAGTGTGTCGCCAAACTTGCACACCGAAAAAGAGGCTGGGTCTTCCGCCCGGCCTGAAGATATAGCGGCCTGCTTTGCCTCCCGGGCCGCTGGCCTTCCCAAGCAACCGGTACCTCCTCTTTTGGAGGGAAACATCATTGCAGACTCTGATATTGCCCCTACAAGCCCTACACTCATACTGGTACCCGCTAGACCTTGCCTACACTACCGGCCTCTAAAAATGCCACTTCTGTCTTCTTCTGCTCGGCCTCCGATACCTGCATATTTAACCCCCTGTCGGGTGCGGTACCGGCCTACCCGCTACTTGAGTGTTTTTTCCCCGCTGCAACCCTTCAAAGCCATGACCACAGGTAAGTACCGCCCCTGAGGGCCTAACGAACGAACAAGTGCCCTGGTGGGCCACACACACACACTCATACCAACCAGCACTCAAACAGGCACAGTCACACACACGCAAGCCAACCAACACTCAGACAGACATGCAGTCCAGCAAGCACACACACACAGACTTAGCAGGCGGGAACTCAGTAGGGCATTCAGTCTATGAGCAAAACTTTGAAATCAGCCGTGTGTTTTAGTCCATGTTTGGACGGGTTATCACACTACCCCCCCTCAAGAGCGAGGTCCCTTCGAGCGAGTAACTCATTCTGAGTTCTCGGCAAACGCATCGTAGGCGGAGCAAGGCAAAGAGATTCCTGGAATACTCTGTCGCAGTGAGCCTTGCTGAGATCTTAGGTGTGGCGTTAGCAGCGATTTGTCGCTCGTAGGCTTTAACAACGCGCGGTGCGCTACGTAGCAGTTCCTGTTTGGAGATCCAATAAAGATCGTCTAACGGGTGATACATAAACTGAACCTGGTACTGCCTGTTTCTCCCCTTACCTACATGYTGTTTGATTGTATCTATCTCATGCCCGCCCTTGATTGCACGAGGGATCATATCTTCGCGGTAATCGAATGTCTCGGTATCACGGTGGAGATGCATGGAACACGGGATATGTGCGCAGGTGAGCTGGCACGTCTACAACGTAAGAAGGGCCAAAGTGATCTTCCCCAATTACATCCAAAACTTCCCAAGGCCCGTAGTAGAGTGGGAAGAGTTTGCGTGAGACTCCCTCCTCTTATGAGAATTCAGACATCTTCACCCAGACATAGCTTCCTACCTGAATCTCCTATGGTCGTCGCTTTTTGTTTGCATGGTGGATCATGGCATGTTGTCGCTTGGTCATAGCTGCAACAGCAACTTTGAGCAAGCGATCATACGTAGCCCTGAAGTCGGGCCTGCCGGGTGTTAAGCCAGCTGGCTGCTCAGGGAATAAGTAGGAGAGCGGATTACGGATCTGCCAACCGTAGTGCAACCTGTTGGGTGTCATGGCGGTGGCAGAATGGACGAAGTTGTTGTACA